AAAATAAGCTCCGCATATTGGCTATTTAGGAAAAAACTAATCATATCTGATGCATATTGCGACCAGCCAATTATATAAGAGCTATTTGTAGTTCCCTATTTTATGTATTTCGTAAATATAAATGAATATATATTTTTTAATTTTACATTTTCATATAAGAGGTATTTGTAGCTCAGCTTTTTTTTTTTATCAATAAATATAATAAAATATAAGAAATTGTGAAATTTAGTTTGAATATAAGAAATCTTTTTAGGATTTAACTACAAATATTTACAGAATTTATATTTCCTTAAACTAACTTTATTTCTAGTAATATAAAAAACAAATGATAAAATCGTATTCGAAATATGTCCACAACTAATTAAAATTCGACTTAAATAAAAATCAATTTTATATATTGGAATAATTGAAATGGTTTTTCATGAAAGCTAATATTTTATTATATGATCTAATATTGAGTTATTTAAAAGAATTCAAAGCAATTATTGAATTATTCATATTAAATTATTCAAATTACCTTCAGAAAAAATATAAATTAATTATTATTTGAAATAAAAAAAAAAAAAAAAACAATTCAAAAAATTCACAATTATATTTTTCAAATTTTGCATTAAATTATTAAAACAATATTATTTAATTTTTTAAGTTTTTTAATGTTTAAAATGAGTTAATAACATCAATGCTAAATCAATAACTTATTTTAAAAAATTGATTTTTTTAAGAAAAATCATGAAGTTAAAAATATAACAAGGTAAAAAACAAAAACTTTAAAAATAAAAATATATATACAAAATAATATAATTTGTTTTCATTAAATACAGACTTATATTTCTAATATATACATATGTATAAATCTACATCTCTAAATATTTTTTAAGAGTCGTTCAACATTTAAAATATTTCCCATCAACACCATCAAATACTACATATAATCTTACGATGCTCTCACTTTACTCTTTCAAAGTTTTTCAACACTGTTTCAAGGACGCCTAAAACAATTTCCTATCGCAAGCATCCCCTTCCTAATTATCTCCCATTTCTTGTGGGGTTGCCTTGCGACAAAGCTCTTAACTAGCCAACCTGCTGCCTTAACAAGTAGCATATGCTTATAGCTATCCGAGCGTGCGTGTGAGAGAGGAGGAAGGGGAGGTACCCTAATGGCATGGAACGGGCACCACGCACACACAGTTCGACGGGCGGTCTCTCCGCAGTACAATTCCATCAGCTGGAATAACATAAAATACTTTACAGAAAATGCGCTCAATGGCATCCTTGACAAGTCGCCTCTACCGCCCGTTGGCTGCCGTTGGATTCGTTGTAATGTTATACCTTCAACTTCCAGTAACACCCAACCCACCCAAAATCCCATCCAGATAGCCCTGAATTTTTACTTTGATGTGTGTATGCGTATTTTCTCTTCTGGATTTGACTTGTTGCTTATTTAGCGTTGAATTTCGATATTTGGTAAATAAAATCAAAGTCGAAATTTAAGTTGAAATTTTTCAGCCCATTCAATATAAAATGGAATCAATATATTATGGAAAATCTAAAAAACTATATTATAACAAGTAAGAAAGCTCTAGTCGAGACAGCTCGACTAGGAGATCCCCTAAACCCT